CTATACCAAAATGTAAACCGTTATCCATAATATTCATTGTAAAATCGGTAATTATGTTTCAGTCGACCTCATAGTGAATAAACTATCGTCAGTGACAAATCCTCGGTAGTGTTCATTGCGCGTAAAATACATGCCGTAACAGTCGACAACAACGCAATCAAGATTGATAAATTGAACAGTTGTGACTCTGAATTGAAGCCGTTTAAAGTTGATGTTGAAATGCTGGAACACCAGAAAGAAATAGAACCCACACCAACAGAAATATGCGAAGCACGATCGGAATGTCGTCCGAGAACACGAACAAACAAAGGAATCGAAATGGACTTCGAAATCGCCTTAAAAAAGAGAAACAAAGCCGGAAAGGATCTGAAAAGACGTATCCATAATGTCTACGAGTTACTACGACTACCGTTGGATCTAGTGAAACTCACCGCCTGTACCGATGGGCTTGATTTGGAAATGAAACGCTTCAGAGACTTTAACGACCATGTGCTCGACCTATGCATTATCAGAGGTGATGATGGAGACAAACAGGAAGAAGAATTCTCAACGCTATGGGAGTCCTCATTAGAGTGCATGGCCGACCTTAAAACAAAAATAAAGGACCTTGAATTCCAACGAGCCGAATTACTATCGCAGAGATCCTCAAAGAGGAATAGCCGTTCCTCGAAATCAAGTACCACGTCGTCAGCAAGGCGAGCTGCCATCGAGGCTGCAACGTTGAAAGAGAAGATGAAGAGCTTGCAAAGAAAACAAGAGATCGACCGCAAACAGGACGAGCTAGAACGCCAACAAAGAGAGCTACAGCGACAGGAAGAAGAAGAGGATCTAAGAGCGGAACTAAGCGCTGCAGAAACAATTAAGGGACTACTACCATAGTAAGAAAAACCCAAAGCGATAAGACATAACGCAAATACAAGACCCGTTTGATATTACACAGCTCAGCCACTTTACGCCCAAACGTAACGACATTATTGTCTCAGAGGTCACGCCGCCCGCCGGAAGTTGCATGGTTGTGAAACCAGACACAGGAAACCCGATTCAACAACACACAGGAAACCCAACTCAAGAAAATACAGAGAGCCAAGGACTTATGGAGTTCAGCGAGAAATTTATGAAGGGTAAACCGCCACCCACAACGGACCTATATGATGAGAGAAAGACACAGAAGGCTCTCCCATTAACCAGAAGCTCAAGAACTAACAACGCAGAAAAGAAGAAAGAACCAAACGCAAAATCGCTGGCAGAAGAGCGACCCCCGAAGCCTGCTGTTAACCCCCAAGAATACGCTGTTGATGTTCCCAGCTCTACCTTGGCATCTCTGACACCTCACGGAGGTCACTCATCGTTGCCCACCCACTTCGACGTCAACACTCCAGCCTTTGTGCCACAGCCCAGAATCGGTTCCACACCAGTGATATCGCATATGCCACCCTCTATGAACTATTTCGATGCTTCGTGGCAGTTCCAGTCCATACAAAGGGAGAACGCGGAAATACAGAGACAACAGGTCCACTTACTAAGACGTCTCATGTTACCATCGCCGAAACCACCTATCTTCGAAGGGGACATACTGGAATACCCAAAATGGGAGAGTGCCTTCGAAGCCTTGATAGAAGAGGACGGCGACCCGAGTCGCAAACTTTACTATCTTGGCCAGTACACCGGAGGAGTGGCTCAAAAATCCATCAACGGACTGCTTGGTCTGCGAACTGAAGACGCCTATAGCCGCGCCAGAAAAATACTGAAGGAGCGTTACGGAAATCCCTATAGAATCTACGAAGAGTAACGAAAGAAACTATTCAGCTGGCCGACCTGCAACTCTGGAACAGAACTCCAGGAGCTAAGCGACTTCCTCATGATGACGCAGGAGACAATGAAGACAGTCGGTTACTTAAAGGAGCTGAACAGTCTGACATTTATCCGCCAACTTGCTACAAGGCTTCCATCATTCTACTGCAACAGGTGGAGGGAGAGCGCAAGAAAGATCGAAGACCAGAAGAAGGATTACACATTCGACGACCTGGTCGAGTTTGTCCAGTACGCAGCATCAGACGCCACCCATCCGGTCTTCTCGCAAGAGTCCCTAAACTTAACTAGAAGAGAGATCCAAAGATCTTCAACTCCAACCAGATCTAGTCCAAGAAAGTCTCAGGCAAACGAGAAACCGCAGTCTCGCGGAACCGCATTCGCTACAGTATCCGAGCCTGCAAAGACATGCACATGCCCGTGCTGCGAAGAACTACATCCACTGGAAGATTGCAAGAAGTTCCTCCAGAAAACCACTAACGAAAGAAAGGAATTCGTAAAGTCAAAACGCCTTTGCTTCCGGTGCTTAAAAGGGGGCCACATGGTGAGGGAATGCAGAGGAAGGCAGCGATGCAAAACATGCAGCAGCGATGTAAACCACACGCTACAGTTCTGCACGACGAAAGCAGCAACGCATCTGTTGAGAAGAGTGGTGAACCACCAACCCAGGAAAGAGGTGAATCAGCCATAAGCAACTGTATAAAGGCGAAACAGCCAAGCCGAAGAAACGCAGCCACCTATTCTCTCATCGTGCCGGTATGGCTAAAGCATCAAGACAATCCCCAAAGGAAGATTGAAGTCTACGCTATCCTCGACGACCAGAGCGACGTCTGTTTTATCACCGACAGGGTTCGAAAGGACCTTGGTTTAAAGGGCAAGGAAGTACAGCTTGAGCTGAGCACTATGTGCAGCGTCGAAATCATCGACACTCTGAGAATCGATGGAATGGAAGTTATGCGGAACGATGAGAAAGTCGAGATCTCCCTTCCAAAAACGTACTCAAGAGAGGTGATACCAGCCAAGAGAGAGCAAATACCGACTCCAGAAGTCGCGTTACGCTGGAAGCATCTTCAAAGAATAGCTGACAAAATTCAGCCCTACCGGGAAGACCTGCCTATAGGAATCCTGATCGGCAATAGCTGTGTCCGAGCAATAAAGCCAAGAGACGTAATCCCAGGCAAATCCAACGACCCTTACGCCATCAGAACGACCCTAGGGTGGGGAATAATAGGGCCAGCAAGCCCTGAAGGAACTCACGAAGGAAAGGTACTCGAGTCAGCAGCATGCCATCGGATCACCTCCACGGAAATAACTTCAAAGACGGCGCCCGCCAACAAGCTCGTGCATGTCAAACAGCACAAGAAAGTGATGAAACCTGAGGCGATTAGAACATTGCTCGAGCAAGACTTCAAAGATGGACAGATAAACACCAAACCCTTGTCGCAGGAAGATCTACGATTCTTAAGGACCATGAAGGAGGGCATTCATCTCACTGAAGACCAGCACTACGAAATGCCACTCCCACTACGTGAAGGAAACATCGATCTCCCATTTAACCGCAAGCAGGTAGAGAACCGATTGCAACAGCTAAGAAAGAGATTGGAGAGAGACTCGAAGTACAAAGAAGACTACACTAAGTTCATGGAAGACATGATTACAAATGGATATGCTGAGAAAGCACCCCAAACTACCACTGCGAAATGGTACATTCCTCACCACGGCGTATACAATCCACGAAAGCCAGGGAAGATAAGAGTGGTGTTTGACTGTTCAGCAGAGTTTAATGGCCACTCATTAAACAGCCACCTGATGCAAGGACCCGACCTTACAAATTCCTTAATTGGTGTACTCTGCCGCTTCCGTCAAGAACGTACCGCTATAGCCTGTGACATAGAGGGGATGTTCCACCAGGTGAGAGTGAACTCAGAACACCGAGACTTCCTACGCTTTCTATGGTGGGAGAAGGGCGACACTTCTCAAGAACCACAAGAGTTTAGAATGAGAGTTCACCTATTTGGCGCAACGTCCTCCCCTGGATGCGCAAACCTTGCATTGAAGACCACAGCCGACGACAATGAAGCTGAACTCGGACAGGAACCATCGAACTTCCTACGCAAGAACTTTTACGTCGATGACGGCCTCAAATCTGTCAACTCAGAGGATCATGCCATAAAGCTGATTGAGACTACCAAGCAACTATGTAAAAGAGGAGGTTTTCGGCTCCACAAGTTCACATCTAACTCAAAGACAGTAATTGAAACCATAGCCGAAGAGGACCGTGCCAAGGGGATAAAGAACATTGACCTCGACAAACAACCTCTTCCCCTAGAACGTGTACTAGGAGTCGAGTGGTGCACAGAAAGCGACAACTTGAAGTTCAGAATAACACTCAAAGACAAACCTCTGACAAGGCGGGGAGTGTTAGCGACAATAAGCTCCATCTACGATCCCTTAGGGCTCGCTGCGCCCTTCCTTCTCAAAGGCAAGAGGATACTTCAACGCTTGTGCAAAGAGAATGTCGAGTGGGATGATCCGATACCGCAAGACCTTAGGGCGCAGTGGGAGAAATGGAGAGGTGAACTACATCTCCTAGAAGAGCTGTCAGTTCCCCGCTGCTTCCTAACAGCGGACTTTGGTGAGCTAAAGAATGTGGAACTTCATCACTTCTCAGATGCATCAAATGAAGGCTACGGACAGTGCTCGTACCTCCGCCTCGTAGACGAACACGATAAGATCAACTGCAGCCTCGTCATGGGAAAGGCACGCGTTGCGCCACTAAAGCCATTTACAATCCCAAGACTAGAGTTGACGGCAGCCTTAGTCTCAGTTAAAACAAGTGAACTCTTGGCGCAAGAGCTTGAATACCCGTCACCCGAAGAAACCTTCTGGACCGACAGTATGGTCGTAAAGGCATATATCCAGAACGACGCAAGACGCTTTCACACCATCGTCGCTAACAGAGTGCAACAAATACGAAACAGCACCGATCCGAACCAGTGGGTGTATGTTGCCAGTGAGGATAATCCAGCCGATGACGTGTCACGTGGGCTAAGCGCAGCAGAGCTCACCAACAGCTCAAGATGGATAATGGCCCTCAATTTCTCTGGCAACCTCGCGAAAGATGGAACTTACAAGAACTGGCTCAGGAACACGCAACATTGGAACCGGACGACAAAGAAGTGAAAAGGGTATACACCCTAACGACTGCAACAACCCCAACCCAAAAATGGCCAACCCTAGCGGAAAGAATCAGTATCTTCTCGGACTGGTTCCAAGCAGTACGAGCCATTGCCAACTGCCTTCGATACTTGGCAATCCTCCGAGACAATGTTAAGCTAAAGAAATCCACAGAGTCCTCAGATCAGAACCCGCTCAACGCGAACAAGCCTATGACGACAGAAGAGCTGAAGAATGCAGAAGTCAAGATTATAAAGGAAGCTCAGAAGGTGGCCTTCACTGAAGATGTAAGGACCCTAAGCTTTAACAAAGAAACAACGAAATCCAGTCAGCTCCGTCGCCTTGACCCCTTCCTCGACCACGACGGCGTCCTACGGGTTGGAGGTAGGCTAAAACACTCGCCTATGCCCGAAGAGATCAAACATCCCGCTATCCTACCTCGCAAGGGTCAAGTAACAGAAATGCTGCTGAGACACCTACACAACAAGAGCGACCACCAGGGAAGAGGCGTAACCGTCAACGAAGTCCGCTCGTCGGGATTCTGGATCATTGGATGCACCTCAGCCGTGAGTGAGCTCCTAATCAAGTGTACCATATGCTGAAAGCTCAGAGCAGAGACGCAGAAACAGAAAATGGCTGACCTTCCACCTGAACGTCTAAGCCAAGCACCTCCATTTATATATAGCGGTGTTGATTATTTTGGCCCATGGACCGTGAAAAATGGGCGCAAGGAAGAAAAGAGATACGGAGTTATCTTCACCTGCATGGCTTCAAGAGCCGTACACTTGAAGTCGCGCACTCCCTTGAGAACGACTCCTTCATCAACGCCCTTCGCCGCTTCATCTGCAGAAGAGGCCCTGTGCGTCAACTCCGAAGTGACCAAGGCACCAATTTTATTGGCGCAAGGCGGGAACTGAAAGAAGCCCTCGCAGAGATGGACCACAGAAGGGTCGCCACTGAAGTACTGAAGATGAACTGTGACTGGGTTGAAACAAAGCTCAACGTTCCCTCAGCCAGTCACATGGGTGGACTCTGGGAACGACAAATAAGAAGCATTCGAAATGTACTTGCATACCTATTACAAAGAAACGGGGCGCAACTTAACGACGAAGCTCTCGTAACTTTCATGTGTGAAGCGGAATCTATGGTCAATTGCCGCCCCCTCACAACAGACAACCTTGCGTCACCTGAATCTTTGGAACCACTGACGCCGAACCATATTTTGACGATGAAAACAAAGGTCGTCCTTCCCCCTCCAGGCGCCTTTCAAACGGCTGACAAATACTCTAAGAAAATGTGGCGAACAGTACAGCACCTGTCCAACGAATTCTGGACGCGCTGGCGAAAGGAGTTCCTCCAATCACTGCAACAAAGAACCAAGTGGTCGCGCCCCAAAAGAATCTCAGGCCAGGTGACATTGTCATCGTTAAGGATGCCGACACACCAAGAAACACTTGGAGACTCGCTCGTATAACCGAAGTTCACGTAGGCGATGACAAACTTGTACGGACCGTGAAACTCCTTGTCGGAGATAGAAACTTGCGAAAGGATGGGATGAGAACGAGACCACTAACCACGCTAGAAAGACCAATCCACAAGCTTGTCCTCCTTCTACCTGGTGACGAGACGGGAGACCGGGAAGCCCCATCGGAGAGCCATGAATGAGCCAGCCTACGATACTGAGGAGTGCGATACTCACAGTGCCACGACGAGAAACCAACCCTGCCAAGGAGTGCGACGCTCATGGCACGAATACAACAAACCCATGAACATTTGAACATATAATCTATTGTTTTGTTACATTATTAATATATTTTATTGGATTATGATTAAGTAAATTGATGTTACAATTTAGGGGAGCCATGTAAGTGTAGCTAGTGTATTACTATTATTAGTGCCACGAGTAACGCAATCATTATAGTGTCATATTTCGTTTACCCACGTGTAAGATTTAGTCAGTTTACACAAGTCTTGACGAAGTGACAATGCCTTATTAGCCGCGAATGTTGGTATGTGATTTTCTCTTATTTTGTGATCATTATTTAACCATTTATACTTGATTAGTCGTTATACATATAAACAAAGTACCATGTGATTCCCTATTGTTCTTACGACATAGATAGTACCTAAATACAACGATTTATAAGTGATTGTGACTTAGCGATCTAAGTATATTATTGTGATCTATAGACAATTATCCTTTCTATCAATTATCGTTATTATGCCCTATACTATACCAAAATGTAAACYGTTATCCATAATATTCATTGTAAAATCGGTAATTATGTTTCAGACGACCTCATAGTGAATAAACTATCGTCAGTGACAAATCCTCGGTAGTGTTCATTGTGCGAGTCTGGCAACGCGCGTAAAATACATGCCGTAACAAATATCCTTGAAATCGAAGTTGATTTCAATAAGTCGTTTGTGGAGTTGACTCCAAGWGTGTTCATGTTGACGAGTTATTTTAGCGAGTTTTGAAGAGGACATGTTGCTAGCATGAGCATTAGCTGTAGAATGGTAGTGAGGTGTATTGTCTGACAAATTAYGTGTGTAAAAAATGGTCCCCAGGGAACTGCAGTAGGATGAATGCGTGAAATCTTATTTGGGTTATGGCTGTAGCTGTCTTTTGTTAGATSCTGTTGTTTATTGTGGATTGTAATCTAGATTGTTAAATTGATTTWGAAATAACGCTAACAAAGGATAATGACAGGTAAAAGAATAGGTGAAAGCCGCCTTAACCRGTTGAGCTGCTAATTACTAGGTAACAATACTGAAGTTGTTGAATATCTTTAGACCGTCGGGTTTTTACAATTGGCAAGYGTTCTCGAGAACATTAAAAAGGATTGAAAAGAGCAGCAGAAAAGTATGGAGTTGAYGTGGATATTACAGTACGCAAAGAAAATAAAGATATTGACACAGCAGAAGATTGCCGCTGAAAGGAGAGTTTTATTCCAATTATTGAATGGTGACGTTTCTACGCAGCGAACTTGTGGCCTTTCTGGTTAAAAAAGATGTTTTGGAAAAAACCGTTTGGTGACCACGAAACATTCAAGGTGTTTTTGTTTTTTATTGGAAATGGTTGTCCAGCAACAATTATAACCAAGTGGATATTGYCAAGTCTTTATTGGAGAGTAGATTACAAGACATTAGACAAAAGAGTGCGACAACTTCACTTCATGTCAAGTAACATTTTAATGCAAAACAACGAATTTGGTTTTACTATGACTTGCATAATAAGCGAGTCCTATTCTTAGATGGCAGCGAAAGAATGGCGTCATGAAATACTTTTCACKTATATGAAGCGTAAAACATGCATCGATCAATTGAAGAAGAAACCGATTTTTGTAAATATGATTCATGAACATGCAGCGGRAGAATGAAAGACAATGATAGCTGGAACATTGTTAAATCTATAGGAACATAATGCSAAGTTGCATAAATTTATTAATCATGACTTTGTCTTTGATGATATGTTCTAAATTGTTTTAGGGTTTTGTAAGGTTTGAAAACTTATTATAAAGGACTTGTAACAAACCTCAGTTAGATATATACTAGATAACACTGATTTTATCAGTACAAGTAAGTCAAGCCGGGCTTTTCGTTTTCGAGTTGTGTGGAGAATAAATTTATGCAAAGGAAAATAAAGGTATTTTTCYATTAAGTGTGCTGAGATGATCGATCACACAGAAATGCTTGCACATATTTTATATATGGACAACTACTTATGGAATAGAGACAGAAGCATCACATGGCTGAAAGATGAATTAAAATTGATACCTCAAAGCCAGAGTTGTGATATTTGCAACTCTGAAATGACTTTGAATRCATGTTCTGATAGAAGTGATGGTTTGCGCTGGGAGTGCCGTAAAGTCATAAACTCCAAAAGACATCGAGTGGAGAAGAGTATACGCCAGGGAAGTTGGTTTGCAAAATCGAACTTAACTTTGGAAGAGGCCATGAAATACACTTATTGGTGGACGAGAGGAATGAAGCAAAGCCAGATTAAAGAACAGCTTGGATTAGGCCCTAACACAGCGGTAGACTGGGATATGTTTTGCCGTGAGATGTGTGAAGTTACGATAACGAAACGARGTGAAGCTATTGGAGGCGAGGGCAAATTAGTTCAAATCGATGAAAGCAAGATCGGGAAACGAAAATATCACCGCGGTCACCTTGTAGAAGSCCAATGGGTGTTTGGCGGAATCGAAGACGATTCAAGGAAATGTTTTATCGTTCCAGTAGAGGATCRTTCTGAAAAAACTCTTTTAGAACTTATAAAGAAGTTCATAAAACCAGGCACTGTTATTGTTTCGGATTGTTGGAAAGGCTATGTAAATCTGTCAAAACATGGCTACATTCATAAGACGGTGAATCATTCTAAAGAATTCGTAAATGATGACGGTGACCATACCAATAAGATCGAAGGACACTGGCGGCAAATGAAAGCGAGTCTTCCAAGCCACGGAAGAAAGAAGGCTCACTATGGGAGCTATATTGCCGAGTTTATTTGGCGTTACATTAACAGAGACAGAGATCTATTCTGGGTTTTTCTTGATGACATGAAAAATGATTTTTGCCCTCTATAGACAAGCAAAACAATTATGTTCAAGTGTAAATAGCACATTGACTGAACTATATTATAAAATGGCGATAATACTGAAAGCTATTACTATTTCTTTACTTTTCATCTTACTTTATTCATTCCTGTATCATAAAACAGTAATATTAAAATGTCCAAGAATATTATTTAGTAATAGTCTAGTAAATAAATAAGAAAGTTGTTTATATACATATGTTGGTATCCCTGTGTATCTGACCCGTAGCCGTAGCCGCGGCTACAAGTGAGAGTTTGAGTGGCGGGGTATTCGATAGTTGTACCTTATTATCATTTACATAAATAGAACAACAGCAAAAGCAACTAAGAAAGCACAGAGAGCTGTACAGTAAAGTAAACAGGCATGCAAGCGACATTGCTGCAGCATGTCCGGATATGTCACCGCTGCATGTTCTACGTGGTGCAATGCAACAACACCAACTATCGCCAGTTCTTCCTGGTAAGAGTACTAGTACCGTTCAAGTTATGGCAGACGTACAAGGGCCAAAAAACACGGAGTGGTGTGAGCAGGTGAAAACTCTTAGTGCTGTTCTGCCGGACATACCAAGATCTACTCTGCTATCCATGATTAGTGAAGAGCGAGGCAATCTCGATGCCATAGTAACGAAGATTATAAGTGGACCGGAGCCCCCACAGCCGAACACTTCTCCATATGAGTGTGCTAGCGCTGCTAGTGATCAAACCGATTACTACGCTGAAGAGAGCCGAAAACTATCCAGAGCCACTTCAATTACTAGTTATCAAATGAAAACTATTCTTGATACAGTGGCCATAAACGAAAGCCTACAGCAACAAGAAAATCAAAAAGATCAAGCAACAGGACGTATTCTATCCTTCCACAAGCCGGAAAACACCAACACTCTTTTCAAAGATCAGGGCCCGAACCACTGGTCTAATGTGCTATCCATGGCCAGCAACGACACGTCAGGGTTATGCCCAATATGCTACACTATGATTGACGTGACGTGCAATTTCTGTTCAAGCTGTGGACACTTAATGAAAAAAAACTATCGACGACTTTAGTAAATAAAACACAGTGCATATCTATACTTCACTGAATGATTTGAAGGTTGCCTTACAGAAATAGATCTAGAACATTTGCCATTGTAATTAGTCTAAACTATTGCAGATAGGTCTATATATAGGCTGTCTATATATTACGCAAATCTGACTGCCTTTGTTTGTGTTAATCTCTGATCGACTACTCTCCCGTATTGTTTTAATCGAAGTCATGCGATTTCTATAGCTTTTGAAGGCGCCCTTGTTATTTGCATTCCTTCGTGATGTTATGTTACATGCAACTCGCTGCGAGTGTCATAGCTCATTTATCAATGTTATGTCAATATCACTTGTATATTGAACAAGTATTAAACAGTTAAACTTAAAAGAATTGTGTTCTATTTCTCAAGTAACGTTTCCACTGCACGTACGCGCGTATTTATGGTTCAGTGATCACACTATTAAAATCAATAGATTACACTACAGTGCACGCGTTTGCGGTTCAGTGACCACACTAAATTAACAATAGACTAATTTAGTCAAATTTAGTAAAAAATAGTTTTAGCTAGTGTTTCACAGATATATTGTTTGCACTCTAGTACCAGTGTTGGTGAGGCAATAAAAAACAAGGAAATAAGAAAAGTTAGCGGGTTTTTTCACTATTTTTTTGTTTCAAGGAACTCCAATACCAAATACATTGTATACTCAGGGTTCATGCCTTGAAAAGCCCTGGGATTGAAGTTATGTTTTTAAGGTGCACAGGAAAAGCTCTTGAAAATACAAGGAGTAAACTCTAAAATTCTGGAGAATCTTGAATTTCTTGCAAATCTGTTTTTTTATCAGATATAATGCATAATCCTTTTAAAATGTGTTGGGCCTAAGAACCACTATAAAATTGTTAGCTCACCTTTTCTAATTGTAATGTTCAAAATGCAATTTTGGAAGATTAGAAGGAAAAGTATGGAAAGTTTGTCAGCATTAGAATATGGTACCACATTTCATTAAACATGATCAGTATGTTCTTTATTCATGAATATCTCAAAATGTAATAAAGAATAAATCATACATATTCAAAACAGAATTTAAAGTACAGACTGAGTACTGTTAACTTTTGCTAAGAAACTTGTAATCCAACCTTAACATATTATTATGTATTGAAAACAAAAATGTCTATTGAATGCTCGTCATATTTTCAAGTACTTGCTAACACTAACATTCAGTGCATGTCTTACAAACTAGTTGAATTTTACACTGGTATTTTTTATTTATGTTTAGGGCTGATATCAGGGAAGCCATACTTTGTAGAAATAAATGTCATCCAGTTTTCAAAAACTAATCAGTTAAAAAAATTCAAACAATGCATATTTCAAACCACATGTATATTACATTCTGTTTCTGTAGAGCAAGTCTAGTTTTGAAAACGAAACAGACTGGACTATGTCAGATTGGAAACCTAAATACCAACAAAGGTACTTAGTCTTAAGCTGAGTCTTTTCAATTGAAATTTTACTCAAAGTTGTAAATTGTTTTCCACTTGTTTAAGATAAAATTGTCGAAAGAGTTCTGCCTGTTGTGTATTCTTTGCAAGTTTGTTTTTGATTGCACTAACTGGATGATGGGATATTGGTACATTCATCTCCTCAGCAGCCTGAGCTGTAGGCTCTCCCCTCTCTTCCCTGACGGCTGGGCGCATTGGGTTCGCTATTGTCAGTCTTGACCAATCAGCGAGTGGCCCCCGATATTTTCAGGGGCATATCATTAATAAATTAGCAGGCAGCAGTGTAACAAAATGACGGACAATTCGGCGTTCGAGATTCTCTTTGAAAGTGCTTGTTTTAAGGCTCTGAAGTCGTTTAGCTTGGACGAATTTAGAGAAATACAGCAAAAGGCTCTTAAAGAGATTGTTCTTGGAAAAGATGTCCTTGTTATTCTTCCTACTGGCTCGGGCAAATCTCTTATTTTTCAAACAGCGCCACTAGTGTATTTTGCTCGTCTTTCTGGCAGATAATATATCCATTTGGATTATTAAACCCTACACATGTTTTACTTGGGGTAATTTCCATTCCTTTCTCTTTTTTAAAGCGCTAACTATTACATTATATCGCTACTTCGCGAAGTTTTCATTTCACATAATTTCCC